CATCATCGCGATATCACGTTACGATTATATCGAAAAAAAAAAAAAAAAAAATTAAAGTTCGTCATTTTCCTCTACTCGATAATTTAAATCATGGTGTCCATTTCTTCTGCTTTTTCTTCTGCTTCTTCTTCTTCTTAAGAATAACAAATACGATGGAGGCGTATCGTGGCTTATATTCGATTACCATTTTTTTCTTTTTTTTTTTTATTTGATATAAATCACACGCGCGGCCGGCGACCTATAATAATAAAAATTTTATCTCAACTTTCTTTTATTTATAACCATAAAAAAATTTTTTTTTCCCTCCTTTGTCGTCCTGATCGTACCTGAATCTGAATTTTCCTTTTGTTTTTTTTTGTTTCCTCGTTCATTCGACTAACTCGGTTTATGTGTTCCAATTAAAAAAATTATCATTATTATTAGTTTTAACTAGTTCTGGACAATCATAAATTACGCGTTTGATGTAAATACGATAGCCAAAATTATTATTATTATTACCGGAAATAAAATTTCAAATCGTTCGAGTTTTTCCCATTTGTTTGTTTGTTTGTTTGTTTTACGTAAAGTTTTTCCACGCGTTTGCAATTGAGAAAATTTTCAAATGTTTGTTTGTTTGTTTGTTTGTTTTCATAAAACTATTATAATATTATAACTGTTATCATTATCATTATCATTATTATCATTATTATTATCATTATTATTATTATTATGGTCACTCTTAAACACGACAAGGCTCTTATTTGTCGGGGTTTTTAAGCATTTATCCCAGGTCTCTACCCGATTCCTTAGGGACAAATACTCGAATATCGGTGGTGCTATTTATAATATTTTCCGAAGAATGTGGGCCGTCCCACATAGTGCGATGTCCTGGATGGTTTCTTCTTTTAGGTTCTTCATAATCTTCTTTAAATTTCCTTTTATTGAATTTGGCATGGCTCCCAATGCTCCCACGATGACCGGAATCGTTTCAGTTTTTGTTCCCCACATCCTGGTTATTTCAATTTCCAAATTTCTATATTTCAGCCTTTTGTCTGCTTCTTTGGCTGTGGTGTTTTTTTCTGCCGGCACGGATACCTCAATTAACTTACACCATTTTTCCCCATTATGCCTGAGGATGATATCCGGTTTGTTAGCTGGCACAGTTCTATCAGTGTGGATTTGTTGATCATATAGAACTGTGCATGGACCTACTGTCGTAACCGGGCTTGGAATGTGGTTGTACCACTCCTTGGGTAATCCATCCATTCCATATTCTCGGCATATACTCCAATGGAGATATTGACATATTTTATTGTGCCTTTCTAAGTATTCATGTTTTGCCAGTATCGGACAACCGGAAATTAAATGATCGATGGTGTTATGGATCTCGTTCTCGAGGAATTCGGTTTTGCTGATTTGCAGTATGGTCGCAGTTGACCTGGATATTTAATATAATAAATAGACAAATTCTATCTTATACATTATATTAACCAAAAATACTACTTGTCACACTACTTTATCAGTAAAAACACTAAACACAATACAAGTGGAAGTAGAATGTGATGCTCTTGAATCCAACCTAAGATGCACTGACTGACGGACTGATGTCGAAAGACCAAGACGTGGTGCTGAAGCCCACTATTTATATGAAGACCAAAACAATCGCTAGTCATTATTCATTCACTAGCACTTAAGATTAGATAAGAAAAGCGAAGCTTCCAGACATGCTGACTT